CATACTCTCTTAGCATCTTGCACGCTATGTTGCTCCTGGGAGACATAGACCAGAGCACATGGCTGCAGCGAAGAGGGTGTTGCGCTACTTGTGCAGTACGTCGGGCATGGGGCTAGTGCTTGGAGGGCGGAGTCCAGTGGTCCTCACTGGGCACGCGGACGCTTCTTGGGCTGACGACCAGGCTACGCAGCGGTCGTCACAGGGTTACACCTTCACTCTTAGTTCCGGCTCTGTTTCGTGGCGGGCTACTCGCTCGTCTTCTGTTCTTGGCTCCAGTTGTGAGGCTGAGATCTACGCCGGGGCCATGGCTGCTCAGGAGCTTCGCCGGCTCACCTACCTGCTGACTGACCTCGGAGAGCCGCCTTGTTCTCTTCCAATGCTGTACGTAGACAACAAGGTCATGTTGGCCTTGTGTCGGGAGCAGCGACTGGAGCACAGAACGAAGCACATTGCTCTCCGCTACTTTCTTGCTCGTGAGTTGCAGCAGCGTGGTCAGTTGCGACTTGCGTAGGTGGCCTCTGAGGCCAACACTGCTGATGTTTTCACCAAGGCACTTCCGCCTTGTGATCATCAGCGCTTCTGCACTCAGCTGGGTCTTGTGCCTGTCTTGCCTCACTTGCTCACCCCTTGACCTTGCTTGTACTCTTACATATATATATATACCTGCTCTTGCTTGTTTAGCCTTATATATATATATGTGTACTCCTGCATGTGAACTGACCTTGTGGCCTTGACCTTGTGTTCGGACTGTGTGGTGACGTTGTGATCCACCCTGAGCTTTGTCTGCTTTGCTTGACTGGTCTTGTGACCCCTTGTTCTCCCCCACTTTGCCTATGGGGGTGTGTCAAATTATAATATTGTGTATAGTGGGGTAGCCCATATGGGGTACACATTTCTAGGGTTGCATATTTGTATCACTTCCATTCCTTAGTCATTCATTCTCGTTCTACTTTCCTCATCTTCCTCAACAGGTCAGTCAACGGAGCAGTCAACTTCGCCATGTCGGGGGCGAACCGGCGCATGTAGTTGACGAGCCCCAAAAAACTCTGCAACTCGGTCAAGTTTGTCGGCGCGTGCCACGCTTGAATCGTCGCGATCTATTTCGGGTCTATTTCCACTCCTTCAGCTGAAATAATGTGTCCCAAAAACTCCAGTCTGTCCTGTAGAAACTTAGACTTAGAGGCTTTTAACAGTAGGCGGTTCTCACCCAGTATTTGAAAAAGTGCTTCGATTATCTGTAGGTGCTGTGCTTTATTTGGGCTGTAAATCATTATGTCGTCTAAGTAGACGATGACACACTTTTCTAAGAGCGGGCGGAAGGCTTCGTTCATGGTGATTTGAAACGTGGAGGGTGCGTTGGTCAGTCCAAAGGGCATGACGGTGTATTCGAAGGATCCGTAGCGTGTTCGGAAAGTTGTCTTGGGGCAGTCGGGTGGATTGACTCAAATTTGGTGGTAACCCTCTCTAAGATCGATTTTCGAGAAAACCTGGGCGGTGTGTAGTTGGTCGATCAGTTCGTCGGCTCGCGGGATGGGGTAATGGGATTTGACGGTAACCCTATTCAGTGTGCGGTAGTCGATGCACATGCAAAAACCCCCGTCCTTGTGTGAACAGTATCGGTGCTGCGAAGGGTGACGAACTCGGGCGAATAAACTCCTTCTCGAGCAGGTAACCCAGCTGCTTCCTCAGTTCGTCCAGTTCGGGTTGGGTGAATCGGAAATGTCGCTGTACTGTCGGTTGTGCCCCCGGTTCTAACTCTATCCTGTGGTCGTGCGGTCGCTGAGGTGGCAGTCCCGACGGTAGGTTATCCGGAAATATCCCACTGTACCGCTTCAGGAGTGATGCCAAGTCATCCGGTACGTCGGGTAACAGTTTCTGTAAATCCCCCCCTTTGTCTGCTGCCTCGGCTTCCCGAATGTCAACCGCGTACACGTCAGCTCCTGCCGCTACGGCTCGTTTCATCGTGATCGCATTGACACGCACCGACGAAGACTCAGGCGAGCCCCAGCGAGGTAAGGCGATGTTGTTGCCGTTCACTCGCACGGTGCAGTCACCCGTCATCCAGTCGATTCGCGGATTGTGTCCTCGCAGCCAATCACAACCGAGTAAAATGTCAGTTCCGTCGAGTGTTGTCGCGAACATTTCCTGACTAAACGTGAAGTTACCCCCGCATCGAATCCGAACCCAGTCTACGCGTTCCCGTATCGCCAGTGGCGTGTCGTTAACCAGTCTTGCGTCGATCTCAGGTAAACATCTGTCCAGTGGCAGTCTCAGTTTCCGTGCTGTGGCGATGTTGATCAGGCTGTGAATGGATCCCCCGTCGACAAATATTTTAACTAAGTCTGTCCCAATTTTCCCACTGTGCAGTATGGGGCTGTCTACCGTAGTACTCTCCTTATTCGGTCGGGTGTGATCGATTGCGTGAACTGGCACAATCACTCAGTGAGGGTCGGTTGGGTCGGGCAAGAGGCGTGACCTGTTAGTAGAGGGCCCGTGTACTATTGACTCCCAGCGTTTCCCTGCTGCTTGGTCTGTTTCTGCTGCCCAGCTTCCCCCTTTCCCTTAGCGTTTTTTGGGCATTCGTTCTTGCGGTGTCCCGGCCGATTGCACGCAAAGCAGCGCCATTTGAACGGTGCGGCAGCGGCAATCGCGGCGACGACACGTATCGTAGCGCCCTCGTTTGTCCCACGAGATTGATGACCCCAGTTGCTGCTTCCGTAGGACCCTGGTCTCGGTCGGCGAAAGAATTCAAGCTTCTCCGCCATGGTGAGAATCTCCTGAAAATCGGTGACGCCGCGGAGTTGGATTTCCTGGGCCAAGTCGTGCTTCAGGCCGCCGATGTAGCGGTCGATACGCTCGGCCTCGTGCATATATCCCACTTGCTCGCACATCGCCAGAAACCCGCTACTGTAGTATTGGACGGAACCGAGTTGGCGCCAAGTGCGGAGCTTCTGACGCGCTGCAATCGAAGCCGCAATTGGCTCAAATCAAGCGCGCAGACCTGCACACCACACGTCCCACATGCGATATTGGGGCACCTCCACAAAATACGACGGCGCTTAGGGTCCGGTTTGTCCTTGCCGTGTTGGTAGAGTCGCATAGTCATTCGTCTTCGTGACGATGACGCGCCATCAATCCATGGCGGGTCCTCGCAGCAGCGACACGGTGTAACGAATCTTCGCCGTATCCTCCGAGACGTAGTTGGCGTCGAAGAAAACGTTCATCGTGAACAACCATGCCTGAACGGTAGGACCGCCCTATTGACTCGGGTCAAAGCCTGGCGGGCGCTGCGGCTTCAGCGGCATCGGTGACGGCAGTGCCGAATCGTTGATCGGTCCCGAGATCGTGACGCGAGGCTGGTTCCTGGCCGCATTCGTCGCTTCGTGGTGTGTCGTGCCGTGGTCGTCGTCTCTGTCGTGGTGGACGACGCCATCACTGGCCGCGCTCGCGGGTTGCCCCACACTTGCGTGTTGTGATGCTTGTGGTGCGGGCTGTACCGGAGTGCCAGGTGCTTGTGATTGCGCTTGTTGTGCTCGTGCGATGTCATTCTGCAAGGAAGTGCGTTCCGCCGTCAGCGCCGCGTGTTCTTCAGAGTTTTCGTGCAGTTGTCGCAGCAGCTCGTTCAAGCGGTCCTACGTGAGCGTCGTGACGTCGATATGTTCGGCCATTTCGAAGGGCGTCGGCTCGTCTTAGTCCAGGCGCAGTCGTGGCTGCACGCGTTTACAAGAGAACGCGAGGACAGCGGCTCCTAGGGGCTAAGGTGCGTGAGTCACTTCGAGTGAAAAATCAAAAGTTGATTTCCTGGGGTGCAGAGATGCGCGGTCTGAAAGAAAGTAGCTCTGATTACCAAGTGTTACAGGTGCAATGAATTGAGATAGCGGGGATTGCACTAAGGTGTCAAACGAGTACAAAATGTGAGCGAAGGCATGAGTGAACATTTATACGCGAAACATGCAAACGGTAACGCGGTGCGTGCGAGCTAGCTAGTGCTAGGCTGGCATCGAGGCTCGGGCTAGTCCCGAAGCGTAGGGCGACACGGCCGGGCCAGCGGTGCATGGTTAGGTGAAATAGTGCGCGCCAAGTTGGCGAAGCCCTGTTAGTAGTAACGGGCGAACAACGGCTGCTGCTGTACGCGATGTTGTAGGTCGCGGTAAGGAATGTCAGAAAATCCCTTACACTATTCCCCCCCCCACGTATCTGCAAATGGCTTCAGCATCCTATCTTGATACATTAATTACTATGAACATATATTTCTTAGGCGTGTGGGCTAGTTGGATTTGTCCCACGATAATGAATGTGATTTCAAGCATCCCAAAAGTATAGGTACTTCACAGGGCCTCAGATTGGTTTTGGGCTAGGCTGAACAATCAGACTTGGTACAAAAAAGTATGCTGAAAATCATATAAATTAGCCATTTTATGCCATTTTACACTATAAAATTCATAGGTTTTCCTGTTTTTTCCAAAAAAATGCTGAAAAATCAGCCCTGGTTCTAAACGAAGTCTGAAATCTCTGCCTTTTTTTAACCTAAATCAGCCTTTTTTCGCTGACTTCTGTGGCCCTGGTACTTCATCTCTGGCAGTTGCTACGGTACATTGATGATCCAGTGGTCTAGGCTGTGAGTAGCTGTTTGTATAATGAGCTTTGAATGAAACGAAACCTGGCGCACGTTGAGATTACGGTTCATAAACGTTTGTGCAGTGTGTTTTATGAACATTTCTTAAGCCAGTGGGGAAGTGTATAAACCATCAAAGGCCGCTGATGTACACCTTCACCGTCAAGTAACCCCTCACTGTGGCAGCCCCATTATCTCCTGCAGCGCCTCCATGGACACGCGGTGATGTGTTCCTTCATGCAGGCTGCTCCACACATGCACCCCCTCATGCCAATGCACGATCTCAGCTTAGCAGCCCCATGATCTCCTCCAGAGCCTCCAAGGACACCTTGTGATGTGTTCCTTCAAGCAAGCTACTCTCAAGTTGCTTCCCAAAAGTGACCCCTCACTGTGGCAGCCCCATGATCTCCTCAAGAGCCTCCATTGACACCTTGTGATGTGTTCCTTGAGGCAAATCACTCCACACGTGCCGAATCATTGCCCCCTTGGGCCCTGTCAGCTCGCCGTAAGGGACTATAATCACCTTCCCTTTCCACTGCTCCTGACGAACGATGGTGTTTAGATTTGCCTGCTCCCACACGTGATGATATCTATGAAACTCGTCTGCTTCAGTGATCGTGTACCATTGCTTGAAGAACTGTGGGGAGTGGGAGGAGAAAGGGGGGAGTGGGGAGGGGGCAACAGTCAACTCAATATTCAAATTGCTTGCTCAACACGTGACTGCAAGCATGTTGCGCAAACACGTGACTGCAAGCTTGTTGCTCAAACACGTGACTGCAAGCGTGTTGCTCAAACACGTGACTGCAAGCATGTTGCTCGAACACGCGCGAATGCAATCCGAGCTCGTTCGATCGAAAGACTCTCAACCCCTTTCTTCCCCTTCCTCCCCTCTTCTCCCCCCACCCCCGCCCAAAAAGCACCTGATTTACATGTGAAGAAGCTCACCTCAAAAGTGTCCAGTGATCGCCTACAAAGATGAAGACATCAGCTCACCTCTACTCCCCTGCATTGAGATAGTCGTGCCCTTCCATAAATGGCACATCGGCGCTCCCATCATACCCCCCCACTGCGTCCCCGTTCCGTGGTATCAGAGCCACCTGTAGGAAAGCTCAAGCTCACCTCAAAGGTATCGAGTGATCGTCTGCACAAAATCACCCCTGCATTAATATAGTCGTGCCCTTCCATAAATAGCACATCGGCGCCCCCATCATACCCCCCCACTGCGTCCCCGTTCCGTGGTATCAGAGCCACCTGTAGGAAAGCTCAAGCTCACCTCAAAGGTATCGAGTGATCGTCTGCACAAAATCACCCCTGCATTAATATAGTCGTGCCCTTCCATAAATAGCACATCGGCGCCCCCATCATACCCCCCCACTGCGTCCCCGTTCCGTGGTATCAGAGCCACCTGTAGGAAAGCTCAAGCTCACCTCAAAGGTATCGAGTGATCGTCTGCACAAAATCACCCCTGCATTGATATAGTCGTGCCCTTCCATAAATAGCACATCGGCGCCCCCATCATACCCCCCCACTGCGTCCCCGTTCCGTGGTATCAGAGCCACCTGTAGAAAAGCTTAAGCTCACCTCAAAGGTATCGAGTGATCGTCTGCACAAAATCACCCCTGCATTGATATAGTCGTGCCCTTCCATAAATAGCACATCGGCGCTCCCATCATACCCCCCCACTGTGTCCCCGTTCCGTGGTACCAGCACCACAGGTCCCTCCGGCTGTAGCGCGGTGGCCGGTTGTAGCAGCAGGGCAGGGTCCTGTGGGACCCACACCTGTCCTTCCAAGGAGTCTGTGACATTCGCCCTCAACAGCCAGTCGAAATAATTCTGGTGGAAGGGGCAAACAAGGGTATGAGAGGCACAGGGCACGGCTGTAGCGCGGTGGCCGGCTGTAGCAGCAGTGCAGAGTCTTGTGGGACCCACACCTGGCTGTCCAGCGAGGCTGTGACTTCAGCCAGTTGAAGTAATTCTGGGGATAAGGAAGCGGTGATGCGCGGTGAGGAGGGATGAGGAGGAGCGGGGAGGGTGAGGAGGGGTGAGGCAGGGTGAGGAGGGGTGAGGCAGGGTGAGGAGGGGTGAGGCAGGGTGAGGAGGGGCGCATTGTTCACAATCCATGTCCTGCTGGGACCCACACCTGGCCGTCCAGTGAGTCTGTCACTTGGGCATCCAGCAGCCAGTTGAAGTCGTTCTGGGAAGAAGGAAGTGGTGAGGAGGAGCGAGGAGGAGCGAGGAGGGGTGACGAGGGGTGAGGAGGGGTGAGGAGGGGTGAGGAGGGGTGAGGAGGGGTGAGGAGGGGTGCATCGTTCACATTTCATGGCCTGTGGGAACCTCACCCTGTTGACTTGCGCATTTGTCAGGAAAACAATGGCTGGTGAATGCTTGAAGAGAAAGTGAGAATGCACTCACAGGCTGCTTGATGGTCTGAAGAAGGCTTGTACGCCGAAACCGGTTACCACCGAATTTTTTACACAAGAGCGTTTTACAAAGTACTACCAACAACTACTGGTGTTGAATCCTAAGTTGCTGCCACGTATCGAACTCAATGGCACCTAATTGGTGTCCTCTTCCACTAAAACAATGGCTGGTGAATGCTTGAAGAGAAAGTGAGAATGCACTCACAGGCTGCTTGATGGTCTGAATCCAGGCTTGGCTTCGAGTGAGAGGTTGTGGTGGCTCATGCGCATCGCATGTAGGCATCTGAGTCGAGTAAGAAGGGCTGGTGCAGGCTTGAAGCTTGAACGAGCATGATGGGGCGAGCATGAACTCACAGGCTGCTTGATGGTTTGAATCCAGGCTTCGACTGAGAGGTTGTGGTGGTTCATTCGCATGTAAGCGTCTGAGTCGACAAACAAGGCCCACTGGCAGCAGCACGATAGCTGCTCCTGCAGAAACGGTATCTGCGGGGGAGAAGCAGGAGATAGCAGGAATAAACAAGCAATGCAGGGTGCTGAATGGCATCAAACCAGGCTTCGACTGAGACGTTGTGGTGGTTCAACTTTTGAGTCGACTCAAAAGTCAACTCAAAAGTCAACTCAAAAGTCCACTTTTGAGTCGACACACAAGTCCACTCAAAAGTCAACTCAAAAGTCGACTGAGACGTTGTGGTGGTTTATTCGTGCACATGTAAGCGCCTTAGTCAACAGACAAGGCCCACTGGCAGCAGCATGCCAATTGCTCCTGCAGAAACGGGAGGGCAGGGAAGGCAGGTGAGGGCAGGGAAGGCAGGTGAGGGCAGGGAAGGCAGGTGAGGGCAGGGTGGTTCTTGAGAATCCGCTCAAAAGAGGGGGTGGTGGGCTCGGATGGGCTCATGAGCTCTTACATTCGCATGTCAGCATCTGAGTGGATAAAGAAGGGCCACTGGCAGCAGCATGATAGCTGCTCCTGCAAAAACGGTATCTGCAGGGGAGGGCAGGTAACGGCAAGAATTGCAAGTGATGTGGGGTAACTGACGCTCACCTTGAAGAATGAGGGGTGCCCATCCTGGGTGTATCTAAGTGACTTTTGAGAATTCTTAAAATTCACTCGAATAACGGCAAGAATTGCAAGTGATGTGGGGTAACTGACACTCACCTTGAAGCATGAGGGGTGCCCATCCTGGGTGTATTTAAGTGACTTTTGAAAATTCTCAAAAGTCACTCGAATAACGGCAAGAATTGCAAGTGATGTGGGGTAACTGACGCTCACCTTGAAGCATGAGGGGTGCCCATCCTGGGTGTGTCTAAGTGACTTTTGAGAATTCTCAAAAGTCACTCGAATAGCGGCAAGAATTGCAAGTGATGTGGGGTAACTGACGCTCACCTTGAAGCACGAGGGGTGTCCATCCTGGGTGTATCTGAACCAGGGGAGGCGAATCAGTGCATCAGGGTAACTGACGCTCACCTTGAAGCAAGCACAGTCACTGATGACGCTCACCTTGAAGCAAGCACAGTCACTGATGACGCTCACCTTGAACCACGAGGGGTGCCTATCCTGGGTGTGTCATTGGGTGTTGCCCTCACCCCACTCACGCCCACCTTGAACCACGAGGGGTGTCTATCCTGGGTGTATTTCGACCCATTTCTCTCCATGTTGCAAGTTGCAATTGCAACCCCTCGCATTGTAACAAATGTATAATCACCTCTAACACGCACCTTGAACCAGGATGGGTGTCTATCCTGGGTGTATTTCGACCCATTTCCCACAGCGAAGCGATACCCATGCCGCCGCGCGTATATCCTGAAGGAGAGAAATGGAGAGATTCGCACAAATCTCGAAGGAATAGGGATTTTTGGTCCAAACATTAGGGGTTTCTGTCTGAAAATTAGGGGTTTCTGGTCCAAGAATTAGGGGTTTCTGGTCCAAGAATTAGGGGTTTCTGGTCCAAGAATTAGGGGTTTCTGGTCCAAGAATTAGGGGTTTCTGGTCCAAGAATTAGGGGTTTCTGGTCCAAGAATTAGGGGTTCTGGTCTGAGGAACAAGAAAAACGGAATATTTTTAAGAAACATTTACTCCGTTGACCTTCCATTTCACCAGCATCTGAAACCCGTGCTGGCGCGGCGCGAATATATCCTTCCTGGTGGAGGGAGACAGGTATGATGGAACGGGAAAACAAGGTGACGGCCAGAGTGACCCACATGGGCATCTTCATCTGGTCTTCACTCCATCCGCATCCTCCACCCTAGGCAGCCCACCACCCTAGGCAGCCCACCACTTACTAACATGTCAACACCGTAAAAAACACGCACATGCACACATGCACACGCACACACGCGTGCGCGCGCACACACACACACATACGAGTGCTGTATTGCAAGTCATACGCACATGTTGACGGCCAGAGCCACCCAAATGGGCATCTTCAGCTGATCCTCATTCCCATCCGCGCCCACCACCCTAGGCAGCGCACCATAAAACCTCCTCCATGCCTCAGACATCCCTTTAATTTCCCCATCCTTCCCCTGCCCCTCATCCTTCCCCTGCCCCTCATCCTTCCCCTGCCCCTCATCCTTCCCCTGCCCCCTATCCTTCCCCTGTCCCTCATCCTTCCCCTGCCCCCCATCCTTCCCCTGCCCCCCATCCTTCCCCTGCCCCCCGGCCTCTCCCACTCCTTCTTTCAACCGCCTACCCCACCATCCTCCATACCCACCCCACTCTCTATCCCTCGCCCTCCCCCCCAACCTCCCCCCTTCCACTTCCCTCTCACTCCGTTCCTGCATCTCCCCCCTCCGCCCTACCTGTCCCCCATCCCCTGCCCCCGTCCCTACACCCTCCCCCTCTCTCCCTTCCCCCCCCAACCCTCTCTCTCCCTAATCCTTCACCCCCCACCCTTTCCACCCCCAGGTCTCTCAAGAGCCGCGCTACAGCCGCATCAACCGGCTTTTGAGTCGCCCCCACCACCCCCTCTGCCTCCGCCCCCAGGTCCCTCAGGAGCCGCGCTACAGCCGCCTGCACTTGTTTTTGAGTAGAATTGAATGCTTCCCCCCCCTCTGCCCCCAGGTCTCTCAGCAACCGCTCTACAGCCGCCTGCACAGCCAGCACCCCCTCGGGGTTGTAGCGCGAGTCGAGAGTGAGAATGCAGCCGGGCCGCTCCCACTCTGCTTGAGGCAACCGCACCGAAGGGGAGAGGTTCCATAGCTGACTGATGTCCGACCGAGCCTGAGGCTGAGGTTCGGAAACGAAGGATGTGCATAGAAGACATGGCTGATTCCGCGATCCACATAGGTCAAAGCAGACCAGCATCAACTCGCTCTCCTGGTTACAACATGGCTAGCCGCATAGCACTGAACGAGAGGCACGAGTATTGAGCCTATTAAACGAACCACTTACTTGATTAGTCGTGGCAATCATGCACAGCACGAGAACGAGAAGCACAAGGAGCCAAACCGCGGAGCCAACGTTGCATGACCGCGATTCCACCACACTAGTGGCGCGGCCCTTCTGGCATGATTCAGGCGTCAGATTCTCATGATCCGCTTTTCCGCCGCGCGGTTCTAACACGTCCCAATCGCCTGCTCCGCGCAGAATTGCCAATTTCTTCCTCCAATCCAGAAAGACTTGCGAGATTCCAAACATGATCTGCTCCGTCCAATTCCGATCTTGATCTCGATCTTGATCCAAATCGCGGTCCGAACTTTCCCTGGAAGCCTGCGCGCCGTCTTCCTCTCGTCTGCATGTTTTCATCTCTGGGTACATACTATCCGCTTCGACGAGCTTCTCAGACTGTTTCTTAGGCGCAGAAAAAACAGACTTTTTGGCCGTGTTCCCGTCACTTGCAGATTGACTCCCAGGGTAAGTACCCGCCTCAACGAGCTTTCCCGACGGGATATGAAGCACCTCTTGACTCTGAGCCTCGACGAATCCAGATTCCCGTGGACCAGAAGCGTCCGAAGCTTCGCGGGCCGAGAATTCGTCAATCTCGATGCTTTTTCCAATCAATGTCGAAGCATGAAGCGACTTTTGAGTCGACTCAAAAGTCATCAATGTCGAAGCATGAATCTCGGCGGATCTAGACTCCCGTGGACCGGAAGCGTCGGGGGCTTCATCACGGCGCGAGAATTCGTCAATCTCGACACGTTCCTCAGCCATCAATGTCCGAAGCACACACACGGACAGAGAAACACTCTAAAATTCGCCGTTCGTCCAACGAAGTGACACAATAACTTCTTAAATTAGACAGCTTGGCTCGCGCGGCGGCTCCCGCAAACGGTTTGCCCGCGATGCCGCAAATTCAGCAAATAAAACGGCGGTACGCAAACACGTGCCGCGCGGGTCCCTAGTCGCAAAATAGGCAGTTGCCGACCCGAAATTCACAAAAAAAAAAAGGCCTCTCAGCAGGCATCGCAACGGAAATTACTAATACGCGGCATGCTGTTGGTTGAAACCGGAAATTTCTCCGTACCCGCACAAACCGACAGACTGATAATTGTAGTACATGATTTTCTTGGGCTGAAATGACTGCAGAAGAAACAACCGTGGAACATCCTAGCAGAAGGAACAATCGTGGTCTCGCGCTTTCGAGAGACACGCCAAGCAAGGGCGCTGCGGGGCAATCTTAGGGCGGGTGCGTTCCCATGTTGCACCGGGAATTGCATGGTTCATCCGTTGTTGTTTAGAACGATATTCAGCGGTGCACAGCGGTTATTTGACTTGCACAGCTGTTTTGCACCGTGACTCAGGACGCGGTAAAAGTGGAGTTCGTTTTTTAGCACGGTTATAGGCGGTTGTGTATCTTTTGTATACAAAACGCGGGATTTCAGTGTGGTGACCAGCTCGATTTCCCTGCAATCGAGCACGCGGGATTTCAGTGCGGTACCGCGTCCTCAAGATGATTACTGTAAACCAACTGGAAACGTTACTTCTCTGTCACGCGCTGAAAAGAAAAATACTCCTGATGCCTGTTTGAGCCCCTCCCGGTTGCCTTGTGAAGGGGGCATATAAGCTGTCACGGGGCTTTTCGGTTAATTTCGTCAATTCGCAGCTAGCTAAAAAGGATTCGCATGTGCTTATATACAATATATGTTACCATATTTGACTTCAGTTTATTCTGCTTGACTTCGGTCTGTTCGTTACTACTGGTTGAACACCACGCGACGCGCTTGTAATGTAGGTGCATGAAGCTGGGGAAACAACCTCGGGTGCAGCGTATCTATCCGGCGCAAGGCAAATTCGCGTGCATGGGGTGAGCATCAGGTGTAACTTCCTATTAGTTACAGTACGTACATAAGTGCTGACTTCACATATGGGGTTCGGAACTAGGTGCGGAATAGAGGCGCAGCGCAATAAGGGCGCCGCGGAATAGGGACGCAGTGGACCAGGGGCGCAGCGGATAAGAGGCGCAGCACATCGATAACCGTATTAATCCTATCCCCCAACTTCAAATATTATAACTTTGTCCAGAGTGTCTACCACAGTTCTGAAGCTTGAGAAAACATTTCCTTGCTCTAAATCCACCGCTACATCATGCATAAATAACAGATGTTCTGGCTTAGAGGCCCTTCCTAAAAGAGTCCCATTTCCTCAACGAGTAGATTTTTCACATGAGTCCTAGGTGTATCCCCTCCTCTACAGTCCCATTTTTGACGGGAAATCTTGCACCTTGACTGAATCATTGCACGAATCAGTTCAGCAGCCAATTAGAGGACGCAAATCGAACCTGTCAGAACATTTAGAGAAAATTAAACGAAAGGAAGTTTTGATTCACTATTTACTTTTTGCAGTTGTGTTTGTCTGTTTATCTTTACCACTCTTGTGTCGAAATCCTGTTGCGCGGTTCCCCACGAGCTCCGACGATGCCATTGTGAAATAAGGTAGTTAAGGGTAAGAGCCATAGCTAGGACTGACCTAGCTAGGCAAGGAAAGTTTAGAAAAGAGAGGGGTTTTTGCACTAGCAAGCAAAGGGATACATATACGAAACCCTAAGGGTTTATACTCGCTATACAGTACCCCACTGCAGGCTAGAGAACAAATATAACATTCTGACACACCCCCATAGTCAAAGTGGGGTGTAATCAGCGGAGCAAGCAAAACAGAACAAGCTCAGGGTGGATCACAATGTCACCACACATTCTGAGCACAAGTTCAAGAAGCAATAGTTTAAAGTTAACAATTATGAGCAAAGCTAGAGGTAGTCACAACGGGCAAGTGAGGAGGAGGAGAGAGAGTGAGAGGAGAGGAGATAGGAGGCGACGGATGAAGCTGCAGACACACGTGCAACAGGAGGCGGACTGGCACAGCGGCTACCGGACGAAGTCCCCGGAATACAGGGGTAACTGGCCCCGCGGCTTAAGTAGCGGCAGACGAGCAACGGACCCTCGGGCGGCTGGCACAGGTGGCTACAACTGGGCTACCGGACGAAGTCCCCGGACTACAGGTGCTGCTGGCGACACGACGGCAACCTCCATTCAGCTTCCCCAAACTATCCTACTCCCCCTGGCACACGCCCACTGCTACACCGCTAGCTCCACTCACCCTTCACCCCCCCCTAGTACCACTCCTCCGGCTCCAACACGTCCACCCCCCCCTCAGCAGCAGCTGCAGCACAAGGAGACGGAGGAGGAGGAGGAGCAGGGAGCGGTACAGAGTATGGTCACCCCCATACCCCTCACCCCCAAACCCTAAGTTAGGAGAATGGGGAGTAGGAGGGGTGGGGCGGTAGTAGAGGCACTGGGAACAGCGGGGAGGGCAGGGAAGGCAAGAAATCGACCCACCACGCAGGGCTGACGTTTCATATTAGGCCTCCCTGATTCCAGGGAAAATTTTTCCCCTCTATTATGAGTGCACATTTTTCAGAATAATGCTACTCTTATTCCTCAGGGTTGATAAGTATATAACTCTGATTGTTCAGGGTCGAAAATCGAGGATCAGAGTAGTAACGCGTCCTTTGTTACAGGGGAAAAAGTCTCCCTATGCGTAAAGTTTGCGCTCTGTGTTTCGCGCACACTTTGAGTGCGCTAATTTCCACCCTTTTAGTGTTACAAAATGGTATTTATGCACACGTTTTAGTGGGGGGAATGTGAAAAGAAAGAACGAGAATGAATTGACTATGAACGAAGTGAGTACAAATAGGAAACCCTAATTGGGTTGTACCCCCTATGGGATACCCCACTATAGCCTACACAAATAAGTAAGCTATAATATTCTGACACACCCCCATAGGCAAAGTGGGGGAGAACAAGGGGTCACAAGACCAGTCAAGCAAAACAAAGCAAAGCTCAGGGTGGATCACAAAGTCACCACACATTCCGAGCACAAGTTCAGGGGCCACAAGGCCAGTTCACATGCAAGATCATATATAGAGATATACAAGAGTCAAGCAAGCAAGAGCAAGAGTATATATAGGTCAAGGTACAAGCAAGGTCAAGAAGTGAGCAAGTGAGGGAAGACAGGCACAAGACCCAACTGCGTGCAGCAACGCTGATGATCACAAGGCGCAAGTGCCTTGGTGAAGACATCAGCAGTGTTGGCCTCACAGGCCACGTACGCAAGTGGTAACTGTCCACGCTGCTGTAGCTCACGAGCAAGAAAGTAGCGGAGAGCAATGTGCTTTGTCCTGTGCTCCAGTCGCTGCTCTCGACACAAGGCCAGCATGGCCTTGTTGTCTACGTACAGGACTGGAGGAGAACGAGGCGGCTCTCCAAGGTCGGTCAGTAGGTAGGTGAGCCAGCGAAGCTCCTGAGCAGCCATAGCCCCGGCGTAGATCTCAGCCTCACAACTGGAGCCGAGAACAGAAGACGAGCGGGTAGCCCGCCACGAAACAGAGCCGGAACCAAGGCTGAAGGTGTAACCCTGTTACGACCGCTGCGTAGCCTGGTCGTCAGCCCAAGAAGCGTCCGCGTGCCCAGTGAGGACCACTGGACTGCGCCCTCCAAGCACTAGCCCCATGCCCGACGTACTGCACAAGTAGCGCAACACCCTCTTCGCTGCAGCAATGTGCTCTGGTCGGTGTCTCCCAGGAGCAACATAGCGTGCGAGAATGCTAAGAGGGTATGCAAGGTCAGGTCGTGTGCAGGTCTTCAGGTACATGAGGCAGCCAACAAGCTCTGCATACGGACCACTCGACTCTACGGACTCATCCGAAGGCAGAGCTGAGAGCGAGTGGCGAGTAGGCAGAGGAGTGGCCTGAGGCGAGGAGTACGTGAAGCCGAAGCGCTGAAGGACCTGCTGCACCATGTGTGACTGAGTCAGGGTAATGGTGCGGCGTGCTCTGTCCCGGGTGATCTGCAAGCCAAGGTAGCTGCGCAGTTCACCCAGGTCAGTGCACGTGTGTCTCTTCTGCAGCTCGAACTTCACGTAGGCGAGTCCAGCAGTGTCAGCTGTGGCAAAGACCAAGTCGTCGACGTACCCGAGGATGTAGAACAGCGGCAAAGAAGTGTCGGTGCGTAGAAACAGCGACGGGTCGGCAGTAGAGGGAGCAAACCCAAGAGCCGCAAGCGTAGTCCTCAGTGTGTCGTGCCACTCACGTGGCGCCTGGCGGAGACCGTAGACTGGACGCCGGAGACTCCACTGGGTACCAGGAGGGAAAGACCCAGTGAAGCCAGGTGGGCGACGCAGCCAGATCTCCTCGTGCAGGCTGC